TCTCTCAGGAAGCCAAGCCTTTAGGCTGTAAATACTCAGAGGACAAGGACTAAGTCCCAGCTGTCCTTGGACAAACTCATAAGTATTATGAGGCCCATCAATGAATCACAAAGGCGTTTTAAGAGCAGAGGAACCTGGAAAGCTAAGAGGATATTTACTATAAACAAATAAAACTGCCCAGGATTTCGATAATGCCTGCTCCACTAAAAGTTTAATGGGCTGTCCCTTGTTAAGTTTTCATTTCCTCCTCAGAACATCTATGAGGGAGAGTGAGTAAACAGAGGATATCGTAATGATTAAGAGCACTAGTGAGACAGAGAGGGTTAACTGTGCTGGCAGAACAAAAGCACTGTTAAAAGACTACCACCTACAAGTTGGGTAAACATAAACTATATCTTGTCAACATAAAATAAGGTTAGAACAACCCGTGAATTACTACTTCCTCCTTAGTGTTTTTCTAGTCCCTTCCCCTTTCTTGCAGGCTCCGCATGCGCAGAAGAACAAAGTGTGACCACTGTTTTGCCCCACCGTAGGGGGCAAAGTAGTGCAGAAGATGAGTGTGCCTGCGCCATATCCCATTATAAGTGATGCCAAGGGCTGCTGAGGGGACTCCATCTTGAATATCAGCGGGTTCCATCTTGGATTCCAGAGGCATGTGCAACCTAATTAGTATGCACTGCCATTCCAAGAAGTACCCACCCCTCCAAAGAAACCCACTGAATATTCATTGCTCTATTATCTCCATCGAACTCATATGAGCCCTAGCCTTGCTTCCCCCTTCGAGTCCGTCTTTTGGAGAGGCATGAGCCCTTACTGACTCCTTTTACTTTTCACAAGTAAAATAAACCTGTTAGAGCTGAACCCAAAAATTGTCTCCTCTGTGTATTCTTACAAGAGAAAGACAAGGACTCATTGAGTCTGGAGGGCCTCCATGCCCTCAGCGTTAACACTAGGACTTTGAATTCAGAAAGACCTGAATCTTCTTCATGAGGAAGCAGTCAGCTAAATCCAGAGTATGAGACATTCTACTGGGCAAAGACCTAGTTTCTCCATGAAACCAATGGGGGAAAAGTGTGTGTGTGTGTTTGTATGTGCGAAAGAATACAGTAACTGAACAAGCAAATGCAATGTGTAAAACTGGATACTGATTTGAATACACTAACAGTAAAAAGATATCTTGAAACAATTGGGAAATTAAAAAAATGGACCAAATGTTAATGACATTAAGAAATAATTGTTAATTTTGTTAGGCTTTAGTTGTGCTAATGGCACAGTGGTTATGTTAAGAAAAATGTTATGCAGAGATGTACAATGAAGTGTGTATGAGTGAAATGGCATGATATTTGGGCTTTGTTTTAAAATACTAAAAATAAATGGGGACAGGATAGATGAAACAAGATCGGTAAAATGTTGGTAATTGTTAAAGCTGGAAGATGGGAATAGGGGCTTCACTTTATTTTACTCTTGTTCCTTTGTATATGTTTGAAATGTTTCATAAGATAAAGTTAATAATAAAATTTAGAAAAAGAGATAGAAAAACAAGAAAGAACTAGGTCTGAGTCATGGCTCAGCCATTTACTAAGTGAGCTTGGTCAAGGTATTTGATATCTGTGAAAAGGAGACAGTAAAGGTATTGTGCGTAAAGCACTTAACATGGCGTGGGCTCCACACTCACACACACACACGAGTCCATAGTAGAGCTTAATAAATGTTAGCTAATACTGTCACTGAGGACTAAGGTGCACCTGACCCAAGCCATGGTGTTTTCAATCGCCTCATATGCTGGACAATGAATAAGGAAGACCAAAGAAGAATTTATGTCTTTGAATTATGGCATTGGTGAAGAATACTGAATATACCATGGACTGCCAGCAGAACGAACAAATCTGTCTTGGAAGAAGTACAGCCAGAATGCTCCTTAGAAGCAAGGATGGCGAGACTTCATCTCACATACTTTGGACATGTTATCAGAAGGGATCAGTCTCTGGGCAGGGACATCATGCTTGGTAAAGTAAAGGGTCATCGAAAAAGAGGAAGACCCTCAACGAGATGGATTGATAAGGTGGCTGCAACAATGGGCTCAAGCACAACAATGATTGTGAGGCTGGTGCAGGACCAGGCAATGCTTTCCCTCTGTTGTACACAGGGTTGCTATGCATTGGAACTGACTGGACAACACCTAACAACAACAAATACGGTTACTTCCTCCCTGTTTTACATATGGAAAAACTGGAGTGCAGAATGATGGAAGAATCTTCCTAGGGCCACAGCCCAAATGAAAACTGGCCAGACATCCTAGCTCAGGACTTTCCCCACTCTGCTCTAGTGTTGTTTTCTGGCAGATCAGAAGTTAATTCTCAAATGAATTATTCAGAACAGTAGTTAAGACTGCAGGCGCTGGAGCCAGCCTGCCTATGCTCGAATCCAGGTTCCTCTATTGTGTGACCCTGGGCAAATTAAAAAAGCCCTCTGACCTCACTTTTCTCATTTGTAAAATGAAGATATAAACAGTACCTATTCATAGGTTTTCTATGAAGATTGAATTATTTAAAATGTGTAACACTTTAAAATAATGTCTGGCACATTATAAGCAAGCAATAATTGTTTGCTGCAATAATTACAATAGTGATTGGTGTGGTTACTACATGTACTCCTTGGTTGGTTTCAGATGAGTGAAGACCTTGTATTCCTAAAAACTAAGGCAGTAGTAGAGCAGACACTCCACACCAAAATAAACTGCAAATGGATCAAAAAGTTAAAGTTTAAAAAAAAACCTTAAAAATGAGAAGTAAAATATAAATGATATCTAGAAGGATAAAGATTCTGTAGGTTTAAAAAGAATGAAAAAAATAGAAAAATCAAAATAACGACAGATTTGATTGTACGATCATTTTAAAACTTGTTTGCATCAAAATATCCATCATTCACTGCAGTATTATTTGTATTTAAAAAACACTGGAAACAGTATAGATGTTCACTTATGGGGGACTATTTAAGTTATGGACATCTTTATAGTGGCATTTCATGCACCAGTTAAAAATCATGTTTCTAGGTTAGGATCTATCACCTTTATTACTTAGCATCATTTTGGAGATACTATCTAATGAAGTGGAAACCCTGGTGGCACAGTGGTTAAGAGCTATGGCTCCTAACCAAAAGGTCGACAGTTCGAATCCACCAGGCACTCCTTGGAAACCCTACGGGGCAGTTCTACTCTGTCCTATAGGGTCGCTATGAGTCGGAATCAATTGACGGCGGTTATTTTATTTTATTTTTTTTAAATCTAATGCCGTTAGACAAGAACGAACCAAGGTTAAAAAATGGGGAGAGGTAAAACTCACCTCTGTGGATGATGTCTGTGTGTCTCTAAAATAAAGTATGAACTTCTTGGGAGATACAGAGCATCTGAGGCTGTCCAGGATTCACCTCCAACCTACTTCTCTCCCCTCCGCTCTATCACGTACGCCTTTGCACCCTATACTTGAGCTATCCTAGCACTACCACTCACCCACACATCCCTGTGCCTTTACTCACCCAGAACCTTCAGCCTGAAATGCCCTCCCCACCCCTCTTCTTTGACCATTCAGGTCTTGCTCTCGGTGAAGCCTCATCTAAAACCCCATTAAAAACTAATGACTCATTCCTGAGCTTGCATAATACATATTTATCTCATTGTGGTTGGTATTATTAGCTGCTTCTATGTCTGTGTCTACCACTAGTCTACAAAATTTAAGTGAGGGTCATGTCTTAGAAATTTTTTTCCATCCTCCTAGCCTTAATACACTGCTTACCACAAGCTAATACGTATTTATATACAAAAATAAATATTTTTTTATTAGAATAAAATAAAATAGCACCTGACACATAAACCAAAAACCCATTGCCTTCGAGTTGATTTTGACTCATAGTAGGCATTAAATAAATGTGAACTCTTTCTAGTGGTAATAACAGGAGCTCAATAAACATTCTAGGAAAAATGGCAAAACAAGCTGTGCTGATTTATTATTAGCTAGCGAAGTTCTTTCAGAATCAAGACTTGTTGAAAGGGAGAAAATGAAGAACAGAATTTCAAATTCTCATCAACTCTAGACTTTCTGGAGCCATAGAGGCTGAATGAACCCCCGAGAGCATTACCCTGAGATAATCTTTAAACCTTAAACCAAAAATATCCCCTGAAGTCTTCTGAAAATCAAGCAGTAGTTTAGCTTAACTAGTAAAGTATGTCTGCCTTGACCATTGTGCTCTTTCAAGATCTATCGATATGGGATCAGACTGAAAACAGCAATTCGAAAGATTAGATAGGAAATTTAGGGGGCAGTGAATTTATGTTTATAGGGGAGGAAAAACTCAGAAAGGTAGGGTGAGAATGGCTGCACAACTCGAAGAATGTCATCAATGTCACTGAATTGTACATGTAGAAACGGTTGAGTTGGTGTATGTTTTGCTGTGTATGTTCTCAACAACAACAAAATTTTTTTTAAAAAGGCTCATTGAAAAACATTAGTGGAGTAAGATTTTCAATTTCTTCTTTCAGAGGCAATAAAAGTTTAGGTTGTAGACCCTCAGAAAGGGCCTTAGGGCATTTTTCAAGACTCAGTTCACCTGTTATTTAATCTGGTCCCCCCACAGGCAGAATTAAATAGCGCCTTGTCTTACTGTAGACCTGTGTACCTAAAACGCTCCCTGCAGTTAGGCCCTTTCACCTCTGTGTTCTCATGATTACTTGGTATCCATCTCCACTGTGGTCCTTAACCTGCAGCTCTAGTCCACTGGACTGTGTACTCCTCCACAGAAGGGGCTGTGTTCACTTCATCCCTGAAATTTAGTACAGTTCTCGGGAGCCAGTAAGCACTCAATAAATGTTGGCTGAAGGAATGAACAAATAAATGAACTGGGATGAACTGTTAATGTGATCATCTCTCCAACCAAACATCAAGGATAGGGAATATGATTTATTCATTCTTGTGCCCCCAGGACCTAGCACATTATCTGACACCAAATATATGTTAATTAAATAGCTATTTATTAAATTGAAGACAAGAGATAAATGCTTAGTTTATTTCAAAAAATGCAAAGGAAGAAAAAGAAAACACATTTCTGGCATCATGTAGACTTGCAGCAAACATTTATGAATGGACTTATGAATTGGGGTGAAAAACACAGCAAGTTTTACCTTGATGATACAGAACAAGGGAGCTTGGAAACTGAGAAGTCAGGTGACCTTAGTCCTCTAGGGTTTTTAAAGCTAACTAGTCCTAGCGAATGAGAATCCGGCCGATCTGAAGTTCTCCAGGCTCTAAGTACCTGCACAGCATCAGGCCCAGGACAACACAGTCAGGGCAGGCTGTGGTCACATTTCTCAGCCTAAGAATGCACACCTGTCGGGGATATTCCTGCTGGGGCCACAGTGAAGAAAATAAAGGCCTTGGGTGAGAGAAGGAAGTAATAAGAGTGTCACCTGAGACACAAATACGGAAACTGAACACATCTGCTTCAAGAAAGGCACACCAACTCCCTTCCGAAGTACGTGAGTACAACGCGCCAACGTGGAAGGAATGGAAGGGTGGGATGCGGGTGGCTGGCTGGAGTCACATCCTGGGGAAGCTGGCCAGGTTGGCAATGCCACAGGCGCTGTTCTTATTCCGGGCCATGAGGATATAGCCTTTGTTTCCCCAGTATTCTCCCCAGCTGTAGGACCAATAGAGAAAAATACTTAGCACCCTCCGTGTATGTATTCATGAAAACACTTACTGAGTATTGTGCCAGGCACGGACAGTACACAAAAATGAGTACAACAATTTTTACCTTTAAAAAGTTTAAAGTTAAGAAATGGAGAGAAGGCATAATGCTCTAGGTCTCAAAGGTGGGACAGACTGCTCTGGTCAGGGGCATCAGAAAAGGCTTGATGCGATGGGGGGTATTTGAGCTGATCCCAAAGGCTGGATGGAATTTGGGCGGGTGGAAGTGGACACCAGTGGAGGGGCACGCAACGAACAAGAGAGGCAGGAAAGCAGGAGAGATGGAAGAGTGGGTGAGAGATGACTGGACAAAGGGAGCGAGGGTGACCACATCATCTTCCTGATTTCTTTCCGTGGGTTTTCTTTCCCCAACCAGTAAGCTCTCTGATCACCTAACACCTGTACTTAAGACGTGTGCCCTACCCCGGCCGCCCCTTCTCTGGGGGCCCCTAATGATCCTCATCCCGCCTGGGTTTGTCCCTTTTTCCTCCCAGTTCTCCTAGATACTGCCTCCACCCTTGGTACCCCATCAAGAGATGACAGAGTAGGTGTTTGGGGCTGGGTGTCAAGAAGGGAGGACACCAGGCAGATGCAACGGGAGAGGTGCTTCTCAGAAGGACTGCTGGGGCTCCCCGAGATGGGACTGTGATATAAAATGTGGCTTCACGTGTGAAGTGACTCCCAGCCTCACATTCTACCTCTTCAGCCTTCCAGGTGGCATTCATCATCCAGCCCCACTGCATTAATCTGCCAACTCCCCAGAGTCTAGTATTCTTGCTCTTTGCGGGGCACCAACGACAGAAAATGTCATCAGTGCTGCTGCCAGGCTGGGCTGACCGAAGTCACAAGGGGCTAAAAAGAGATGGGCAGCCAAGGTACCCTGGAGTTTTGTTTGTTTTCAATAATAGGGAAGGAAACATTAGTATTTTAGTTCACGTCTTGTTTCTAAAAAGTGTTTCTCTTCACAGATTTCACAATCTTTGGCAGGTTCTTGGACATGCCTATGTGCTCCTGGAAGGGACAAAAGCTGCACACGGGATATTAAACCTTTACATTGTTCTCCTACTGCTTACAGACCGATGACGCACGCTTCCCGAAGAAACTGATCACAGCAAAGAAAAAGGAACCCACCGCTGTCAAGTCAATTCCGACTCACAGCGACCCTAGAGGACAGGGTAGAACTGCCCCATAGGGTTTCCAAGGAGCAGCTACGGGATTTGAACTGCCGACCTTCGGGTTAGCAGCCGAGTTCTTAACCACTGCGCCACCAGGGCTCCTGTTGGTTCTTTGTGCGGATGTATGTTGTGTTAGTTCGGTCTGTGTTTCTTACTGGGCTGTGAGATCACTGAAGATAGACCTCCTGCTTATTCACTTGTGTAAGCGGCTAAGCGCCCCGCAAATACCCTGTGCAGGGGCAGCTGCCCACACATACTCTCAGTATTATTGTCTGCTGCCGGGCCATTAAATGCTAGACTCAGAATTAATGGCCTCTAACTGGCAGGGTGGAATGGAAAAGTTTGAGAACTTTCTCTCAGCTTGGGAGAGAGGAGAGGATACTGGGAAGTTGGAGGTGAGGGTGGAGTGGTTGGAGGTGACAGAGCGACAAAGGTAGTGTCCCCCCCTTACCTGTTTTTAACTATCCAGTGCTTGTTCCCCTTCTGGGTCCCGTACCCCACTGCCAGAACCGCGTGGTTCAGGTTATCGCTATTGCATCTTTCATCGTAATACACACCTAGGAAACAAATCGCTGAGGGGGGGCTCTCCGCAACCCAGGGGCTGCCCTGTGGGGTCTCCGCGTGTAGGACCGCCGTTGTAAACTCCTGCCCCAGTCAGACGGGCTTAAGACAGGGATACTGCAGACTGCGGTGGCTACAAGTGTCTCTCGGCAGACTCAGTCTGAACATGAAAACTAAGTACTGGAAATGCTCAGTACCCTTTGAGAAGCCGCCAAACCCTCGCCATAAAAGACAGTGGATTGTGCTCCATGAGAACAGCTCCTTACCTCTGCTGTAAAACTGGAAGGAGGTCAGGCTTGCATCAATGGCCACAGAGATGGGGCCCACTCGGGCCACTGCCCTCTTCAGCGCTTTCTCATCGCCCACAGGGATCTCTCTGTAGCCTCGGCATTTAGCCGCCTTGCCTGTCGGGCTGTACATACAATTTTCATCCTGGAAGAAACAAAGGGGAAACAACGGTATGAGGCAGCAGGCAATGAGGTGGTGAGTGGGAACTCTTCGGATGTTTTGACGATGTCAGTGAGGCAGGCCTTCTCGCTTGGAATTAATGGCAGCAGCAGATAAAAGTCTCTAGAGAGAGTCTGTTCCCTCCTCGCCATTTCAGAAAACTATAAAAAGGAATATGAAAAGTGGATCCCTACCTTCCACCATACACAAAAATCAATGCCAGGTGGTTTTAAGATATAAATGTGAAAGGAAAAACTGGGAAACGTTTTAAGAGAGAGAATATTTTTTTCGCCTCAGGATAGGGAAAGAGTTTTGAAATAAGATCTGAAAAAAAAAAGAAGACCCATAAGGCACAGATTATCTTCTGGCCATGCAGCACCTCCGAGGGTGGGGAGGCACCAGCTCTATGTGGGGATGAGGCCAAGGCCGAGGTTCAGCCGGACAGAGGACCTCGCCCCTCTGAACCTGTATCACCGGAGCTGGTTTGAGGCAACGAGTTTTGGCAGGACCCTCGTGCTCCCATCAGCCTGATGCCGTCGAGTCACTTCCGACTCGTAGCGACCCTGTAGGACAGACTAGACCTGCCCCATAGGGCTTCCTAGGCTGTAATCCTTACGGAAGCAGACTGCCACATCTTTCTCCTGCGGGGCAGCTAGTGGGTTTGAACTGCTGGCCTTTTGGTTAGCAGCCGAGTGCTTCACCACTGCACTACCAGGGCTCCCTGCTCCCATCAGAGAACAAATATAAAAGTACATGCTACGACACTAAAGCAGATTAGTCAAGAACGTAGCCGTTCAGCCTGTGACCTTCTGACGCCATTTTGCAGTCTCGATGGCACTGATGTACTTCACTGCAAACCGCAACCGAGGGATCTAACGCCAGCCTGGGTCAAGGGGGCGTGTTCTTGCTGGTAATTCATTTTCCTGCACACTGCCCCTTCAAGACCCGAAGGTTGTATCTACAACAAGAATTATCTAAATATTAACAGTAATGGCAGCATTTGACGTGATATTTGAAGAGCACAGTGGTCTTCTGCCTTGATAATTTCTCAAAATCCTGTTGTACTCTGCTACATGATCCAAACCCCTGATGCCTCCTGGGGGTAGCGACCGCACAGATCTACAAGGAAAACAGTATCTTGGGAACAGACTTAGAAGGGTGTCCTGCAAAGCCACTTTAAAGTCAGAATAACCTATACTATGGCTGGAACCAACTTAAAGTACTGTCCTTTTAAAATGTTCTTCTCTGGCTGCTACCTTATCAGATTTCTTGTTTTTTTAATTTTCTTTTTCTTTTTTTTTTTTAACCTCCCTTCATTCATTCACATGCTCATCTGAGAAGAGTTCTTTCAGTTTTCGACGGTAACTGCTTTTAGAAACTGTAACACAGATACAAGAGGACAATTGCCCAAGATGCAGAATGTAAAAAAGAGGAACATGTGTATTGTATGGTGAATTCTTCATTTTAACTTGATGATGAGACCCAAATCATTCCACATGGCTCTCTCATGCTGGAAAGATCATCTGAGGGCCTGGGAGTATGGAAATTGGAAGTCAAATGCCCCTTGTATTCCAAAACGGGGTTTTAAATATTTCGTAATTGTCATTTAAATTATTCAGAGTCTTGGAGCTGCGCCTCAACAGACTGATTAATACAGAGCTGAATACATGATGCACGCTGTCAAAGAATTAACCTACTGCTGTCAAGTCCATTCCGACTCACAGCCACCCTGCAGGACAGAACACAACGGCCCCATAGTGTTTCCAAGGCTGTAATCTTTACAGAAGCAGGCAGACTGCCACATCCTTCTCCCACTGAGCAGCTGGTGGGTTCGAACCACCGACCTTCTGGTTAGCGGCAGAGCACTTCACCACTGTGCCACCAGGGCTCCATGTCAATGAATGTGACCAACTATTAGCTCTGATGGTATTTAAGTTTCTTTAACATAGTTACACAAACTTTTACACTGGCTGCCTGGATTAATCAATATGGAATAAATTATAAACACAAATCTGTTTTTTATATATACTGTTGGGATTTGTCTTATTTTTTAAATATTAAATGACAAAAAAAAAGTTACACTATTTTGTCATGTTCAGGTTATCTCAGTGATTGGCCTGATGTATTCAGAATGAACAAGCTCATTGTCAGGGCAGATTTAATATGCTGCACCCAATACTAGTGGCCCCAGAATTCAAATATGGATTTGGGACACAGCAGTTCTGAAAATTTTGTATGGACTGAAGAAAGTTTTTTTCTAGGGACAACCTCTGTTTTCTTTGCCTTTTATACCTGACCACTAAAAAAACCATAAAAAGGGATAAAAATGGAGTGAAATTGACAAAATAAAGTACATCACGAGGATGTACTGAAGTGACTTTACTGTGTAGGCTGTTGAGTATCCACTGAAATGGATTTATTCAGTCATTTACATTAATGAGCATTTTATTGCAGCAGACATCATTTCTCACATAGTATTAGTATCCAAAATATTTTTAAATTCCCAAAAATAAGTAAGAAAAACAACCCAATTAAAAATGGGCAAAAGATATCAACAGTCAATTCACTGCAGAAGAAATGTAAATCGCTAGATAACCTACTGATGAAGGCGTGAGTCGATGGGATTTCGGACACACTGCAGGTGGGAACAGACATTGTTCCCAATACTTCAGTAAACAATCTGACATTATCTAGTAAAGCTGCAAATGCACATACACTAAGACCCAGACATTCTGTTCCAAGGTATGATATCCTAGTAAAGAAACTCTCGCAGATATGCAGAGGAGACATGTATAGGAATGTTACAGCAGATAAACAGACTTGGTAGATAAATCTTGGCTCTGATACTTGGTGGTATGGAGTTGAGTATGCTGTTATTACCTCCTTACGTATCAACTTCCTCATCTATAAAGGGAAGATAAATCTACCTTATCGGGTTGTTGTGAGAATTAAATGAGAAAATGCACCAAACACATGGCTTAACACGTAGGAGCCATCGTTTTTATTACTCAGATCTTATCAACTTGCTATCCCTGTTCCAAACACACCTGTTGCAAAGGCCCCACATTATATCACCTATCAGCCCCGTGTATAAAAAAATTCATCCGGTCTTCTGCTTTTTAGATACGAAAGATTTCATTCCTATTACTAAGGAAGTATCTTTTAGGAGGAAGTGAGTTGACTCTTCATCTCTAAAATTACAAGAAATATGAATCAACTTGTTTTTGTCTCATTTTACATGTTAGCATGTTAACTTGTTAATTTGCTTAAACATTCCCAAACCCACACTGAGATCATACAAAATAAAGCCACATGGCTCAATAGCATGATGGGTTGGGGGTTTGTAATAGGATAGAGGAGTTAAGGTACTAAAAAAAAACCCAAAACCAAACCCGTTGCTGTCATGTCTATTCCAACTCCTAGCGACCCCAAAAGACAGAGAAGAACCGCCCCATAGGGTTTCCAAGGAGTGGCTGGTGGATTTGAGCTGCCGACCTTTTGATTAGCAGCCAAGCTCTTTACCAAGGTAGCAGCAGAGGGAGAAAGAGATCTGCTCAGAGGTCCAGGGAATGACCTGTCTGTTGTTTCTTTTTCTCCAGGACCAGGGGGCAGATAGGAGCTGGTAGCCTAAGCTCTCGAAGTTCTCTCAGACTGTGGGAATCTTCTTGGACTTCTGTGGGAAATTAGTCCACCAAATTAGGAATAATAGAAGATAAGATTTCTGGAATTGTTTCCCGTACAAAACATCACATTGGGGAAGGAGGAGCCATTAGAGAACTAACTGTCTATCTGTGTGGGGTGGTCTCACCTGTCCCACGTACGGGTAGGCATCTTCAGAGTCGATGCCCCGGTTCTTCTGCACATACTGAAAGGCATTGGTCATATAGCCCCCTCTGCAGCCATCATTCTCAGACACACAATCCACCAGGTTCTGGGGACTCAGATTTAAGAGTTTTCCAGTCTTCTTCTTGAGCTGGCCTTCCAGGGCACCCACAGAGCTAAAAGCCCAACAGGAACCACACTGACCCTGAGAGGTATACAGATAAATTACTGGTCATTGCTGTTCACACTGTGTTCCTTCTACCTGCCTGATGAAACTCCATGCATCTTATAAATTCCAGCACAAATGTTACCTTTGTTGTGAAGTCCTCCTACTCCCCTTCACTTGACATCTGCTGCGTTGTTCTATTGCTATTGATAACTGTTGTTACTCTTGTTATTGTTAGCTGCAGTAAGGCATAGCAGAGCACATCACCTGCTCTGGAGTCAGTCTGCCTGGGTTCTAACCCTGGCTTTGCCATCTGCCTGCAAAGGTAGCCTTGGGAAAGTTATTTCTCTGTGCCTCAGCTTCCTTATATGTAAAATGTGGATGATAATCATAAAATACTTAATGGGGTTGTTATGAGGATTTAAAGATTTAATTCATATAAGCCAAAACCAAAACCATTGCCGTCGAGTTGATTCCAACTCATAGCGACCCTAAAGGATAGAGTAGAACTGCCCCATAGGGTTTCCAAGGAGCGGCTGGTGGATTCAAACTGCCCACCTTTTGGTTAGTGGCCAAACTATTAACCACTGCACCGCCACGGCTCCAATTCATGTGAAGGACTTACAAACTCCTGACACATAATAATCTCTAAAATGAAAAAGAATGAAGGTGAACCCCTACCTCACACCATATACAAAAATTAACTTGAAATGAATCAACAACCTAAATATAAGAGAAAAAACCATAAAACTTTTAGAAGAAAAACCCTGAACCCACTGCCATTGAGTCAAATTTCGACTCACAGTGACCCTATAGGACAGAGTAGAACTGCCCCATAGAGTTTCGAAGGCTGTAATCTTTATGGAAGCAGACTGCCACATCTTTCTTCAGCCGAGCATCTGGAGGGTTCAAACCGCTGACTTTTTGGTTAGCAGCCAAGTGCTTTAACCACTGCTCCACCAGGACTCCTTCTTAGAAGAAAACACAAGAGTAAATCTTCATGACCTTGGATTTGGCAATGGATTCTTAGATACAGCACCAAAAGCACAAGCAACAAAAGAAAAAATAGATAAACTGGACTTCATCAAAATTAAAAAGTTTTGTGCAACAAAGGACGTTATCAAGAAAGTAAAAAGACAACATACAGAATGGAAGAAAAATTCGCTAATTGTATATCTAATAAGGGTTTAATATCCAGAATATATAAAGAACTCCTACAACTCAAGGACAAAAAGACAAACAACCCAATTAAAAAACAGGCAAAAGATTTGAATAGATATTTCTCCAAAGATAATATACAAATGGCCAACGAGCACATGAAAGATGCTCAACATCATTCGTCATTAGAAAAAGGGAAATCAAAACCACAATGAGATACCACTTAACACCCACTAGTATGGCTATTACTAAAAAAAGTGCACAGAAGCACTATTCACAGTATCTGAAAGGTATAAACAACCCGAGTGTCCGTCAAGAGATGAATGGATAAACAAAATATGGTGTAGACATACAATGGAATATTAGTCACCCATAAAAAGGAATGAAGTACTGATACTTGCTAGAAAATGGATGAGCCTTGAAATCATTATGCTCAGATTTAAGAGTTTTCCAGTTGTACGTTAATATAAACAGAATTATTATATGACCCGGTAATTCCGCTCCCTAGGTATATACGCAAAAATTAGAAACCTAAGATTTGCCATTTTCACCATTTTTAAGTGTACATTTTGGTGGCATGTTATGCAATCACCATCATCTGTTAGACCACAATATTTTTTTAAAGTACTAGCTATTATTGTTAGTGTTTGTTTGGCCACCCTTTAGAGTTTTTTTTCCTGTTCTTTTAATTTTTTAAGATTAACATCAAGAGGATTTCTTGAGGACACAGGTCATGTTTTAGTCATCCTGAATATCTACTGCCTAACACTGTACCTGGTAGGTTCTGGGGGGAAAAGAATGTTTGTTGAATGAATGTTAAATCAAATGTTCACCTTGTTGCTACAATCCATTGTTAAGGTTCTAGGAAAACTGTCATTCTTATGCTGTAAGATTGTAAAAACATTTTTGGAAGGGATTCTTTGTGACCTAGCAATTCCAATTTAAGGATTTATTTTGCATGCATATTTGTACATGTGCACAAAAAATATATGCACAAGGGTACTTAGTGCAACATTATTTGTAATAACGAAAACCCAGAAACAACCTAAATGTCCAAAAACAGGTGATAACAGGTAAGTCTATAATATTCTCTCGGCATGGGGAGAATTACCTTAATTCCTTGCACCCTCTTCCTGGTGTCCTCTTACATCAAAAACAAAGAAGCAGAAAAAGGAAGAGGTCATGCCAGATTACATATCCACACTCAGAGAATGGAAGGTACCTGGTTTCTGACAGGTGTGACGTATCCCTTTTTTCGATAATCGATGGAGTCTGGGGCTCTACCCTCCCAGTCAGGGATATAGAGGGTGTCGTTATCCCGGGAATCCGAGGGAGGTACTCTCAGACCTGTCATCTTCTGAACCACCTCTTCACTGGTCTAGGACAAAGAAGAAAGAGGCCAAGTGTCAGCAGGAAACGAGAGCAAGCGGGGCAGGTGGGCTAGGAGTCCAGGCTCAACTCACCATGTCCCCCAAGTGGTTCATGGCCAGTTCATACGTGTGCACACCGAGAGAGGCCTCAAGGTTGTGGATGGAAATATACTTCAAGTTTTTTTCCCAAATTAAACGCCGAGAGATTTCATCCACCTAAACAAAAGCATCTTCAGTAGTGGCATAGACTGTGTTCTGTATGTAACACTGTGGAGGTTTCAGGGAAAGGGATGAAACAATAACAGAATCTACAATCGAGTTGGGGAACTGACCACAGAATTATTCAGAACATATAGAAAGAAATGCGTATTCACATATAAAATAAAGCACATAGGGGGCACAGTTATGAATACTTCCTAAACCAAAAAAACCAAACCCGTTGCCATCCAGTTGGTTCTGACTCACAGAGACCCTATAGGAGAGAGCAGAACTGCTCCATAGGGTTGGACACTTCCTAGACATGACCAAACACTTTGAGGGATTGGGTCACTGGGTTTGAGGGCTTAGGGCCATAGTTTCAGGGGAAACTCGGTTTGGCACAACATAGCTCATAATGTTCTACATCCTAGTTTGGGAGACTAATGTCTGGGGTCTTAAAAGCTTACGAACAGCCATCTAAGATACAACTATTGGTCTCTATGCGTCTGGAGTAAAAGAGAAAGAAGGAAACCAAAGGCTCAAAGACGAAGCTAGGCTACAGGACTAAGTCTACACGAACCATGGCCTCACCTACCTCGAGACCAGAAGAACTCGATGGTGCCTGGCTACCACCACCTACTGTTCGGACCAGGGACACGATAGAAGATCCCAGAAAGAATGGGAAAAAAATGTAGAACAAAACTCAAATTCCTAAAAAAGATCAAACTAACTGGACCAGTAGAGACTAGAAGAACCCGTGAGACTACTGCCCTGGATATCCTTTAAACTTGAAACTCAAACGACTCCCAAGCTCACCTATCAGCCAAAAGACACAGCGGCTCATAAAATAATGTTGAGTACCGTGTGTCTCTAAGCAGTCATCTAAATGAGAGAGACCTAAGAGTCAACATTTACCCCAGACCAACGATGAGAAGGTAAGGGGGGCAATCAAGCTGGATTAGTGGAAACAGAACCACCAGAATGGAAATAATGAGAACGCGGACACATTGTGAAAAGTGTAGCCAGTGTCACTGAAAAACATGTATAGAAACTGTTAAAGGGAACCTAATTTGCTATACAAATTTTCTCCAAAATTACAATGTTTTTTAAAGAAAAGGAACTAAAAAAAAGAAATACGTAAATAAATACAAACAACAGAACGCAAAGCTCTGGGGAGATGTGTAGAAAAATTGCTTACAGATTAATAGCAATATTCTGAAAAGGCTTCCCAAGAGAAATGAAAGACAGCAAATGTCTACACAGCAAAGGCAGGCTAGACTTGGTGCTGAGTGAAGGCACAGGGGCAGGCTGGGGTCAGAGTGGTTAAAGTATGCAGACTGAAGACGGGAGTCTGGAAGTGACTAAAGGATTAGAGAAGTCTCAGATCCAGCCCTTCCTCCTTGCCCCAGGTCCCCAGGCACCTTGCTATTATACTGCTTCCGGTAGGTCTTCTTCCACAGCTCCCACTGGGTGTCCAGGATCTCCTCAGGGTACACAGCAAAGCTCACCATGGGCAGCAGCAGAACCTTGAGCCCCCACATCCTGGGGGAAGGGGATAACAAGGGGAAGGGGTTCACAGCTTATCTTAGGATAAGGCAATAGCTGAAGCCACACTCCAAACCAGGGACTGTGAAGCTTTTGGGAGCCAGACTCCTTTGAGTAGTCAATAAAAACTTCCCTTTCATAAGAACACTGCACACACACACACACACACACACACACAAATAATCCATGGGGGTCCAGGAACCTGAAGAACCCCTTCCTCCCGACGAGGAAGGGAAAAACCAGACTTGATGAGGAAGGCAGACAGAACTGAAGATGATTTTCGTATCATCAAACAAAAGGGCCTGGGTTTGGATGCGGTACTGGCCCACGTGGTTCCAAGTGTTTTGACCTGGGGAGGGTCAACCAACACACACTTGCACAGACACCAGGAAGGGGGCAGACAGGGACGATGAGAATGGGCCTGGCACCAGTCTCCTCCAGTGTCCCCCGCAGGCTGGGAGGATATGCACGGGGAGGAGTGGAGCCGGCAAACGCACACAGACCTCCCGCTCAATTCTGCGTCCTGACCATTTCTTCAGGGCTCCGTTCTCTTCTGGCCTCAGGTCTGAATTCGTTAGGCTACTTCTCCAGGTCCTGCCAGGAGAGCTCCGGGAAAGGCTGGCAGTGTTTACCAGCCCCTGAGATGTTCAGTGTCTCCTGGCCCTGCTGCATTTCTTCCCCTTCTCTCTTACCCCGCTCTGTAGACAGGAAGTTGCCCTAATCTCAACCAGCTGCTGTGGACAGGCAAGTTTTTCCTTTCTTCCAACAACAAAAACTGTGGTTGCCTCACGGGACAAAAATCCTCAGAACGAAGGTTTGTCAGAAAAATTTAAGATTAAAAAGCAGTATTTTATGATCGCTTAAATTAACAGCTCCTCGGTTTATTCTTGCTTCACTCATTTCTTGCTTAATTACATAGTCTCCACTGTATGAAGAATTTACAATCTGTAGCAAGTCTTACAGCTGGAATAATTTCTGAATTCACAGTCTGTTTGTGAGCAATCTTTGCAAACTCAGTCCAGCAGGGCATTTGACAGCTGGGTTGCCAGGGGCTCTGAGATGTCAGAGTAGGAAGCACTGAGCCACCATCGTCCTGCACCCCTCCTCCCCACTAGTGAGCTACCCCCTTTTGCTCCCTTCTGGCCAAAGCAGAGAAGTATAAACAAAGGCCACTTCTGAGGGATGGGTGAAGGATTTCCTGTATCTCTTGCTTTAACTAACAACCATGCATGCATACATGTAAATCATAGAATACTGAACATTTTCAGGCGGATTTAGCCAAAAAATAGCCTAAGAAGGGCACTGTTTTCACCCAGAGTGCAGAAAAAGTCCATTTTGGTCCCCAAGTCACTACGTCCCGAATACTCAGAATAGAAAGGTAGCAAGAACGAGAAGCCAAAAGATTTGGGAAATTGAAAACATTACCTGCTGCTGGGTATCTGTTCTCTGGGCTGGTTTCGGCAGGGACGTGGGGACAATGTGTGCGGGTGACTAGGGGGGCTAGATATATTCCATCAGGATTGCGGAAGTCAGCTCCAGTAGTCAGCTGCCCACCGGGAAATTTGGATAAGGGGAGGGAGGCGGGGATAGAAACGCTGGGAGAAGAGGGATTAGCAGAGGGAAGGAGGGAGTGGATTTGCGTAGGGGTGGAGATCTGCTAGGTCTTTAGTTCCACGTGATTGTCCTTATGGAGCTGTGGACCTCAATACAGAGTACTCAGATGGGGCTTACCTTCCCCTTGGTGGGTCCACAGAGGACACAGCGCTGGCCTTTCCCTCCTTTTCTCTTTAATATCATTTTGTTATCATTGCCCACCTCCCAACCCTGAAACCTCATTTTTGGGAATTGTGTCTAATCCTCCTCTCAAGGATGAAGAAATAACAAGGCTGGGAAGGAGGAATGTAAGGGACCCACAGGCTCCAAAATCATCTGTATTTTGTTATCGGCTACAAGTTGTCATTGCTCCCAGGCCGGGGAACAGCCGGATAGTTCTGCTGAGGAAGGACACGCCCTGTCAGAGAGTCTGGATGAAATCAGTTGTTACAGTAACCAAAAACAGCACTCCTGGCTTATGGCAGCACTGACCCGATACTGGGAACACTGACGGGTTCCCACGTGACTCTTTGTGGTCACCACTCTGATGCCAGGCTGCCTAAGGAACACCGTCCGTCTCAGTTATGAAAATCCCTGATCCAGGTCCAGTCACACGAGCTTCTCCAAACGCTTCCTGGACATCCAGGCATGTGACAAATCATAAGAGTCTAGCTCAGTCCCCAAACCACACCCTAAATCCCGCTTTCTTCCATAAACAGATATGGAGGAGGGGAAAAGACGGTCCTGGGAATAGAAAGGATAATACACTGGGTTCTAGATTCTGTTTCTAGCTCAGCTGCATAGACCCTCAGGAATACAGCCTTATGCCTATGGTTTTTAAGATCTGCAAATGAACCACGTGGTCCTAGAGGGAAACGAGGTCCAGACTTGAACAGCTTCGTTTCCCCATCCCTAACTCCTTTTAATCCAGAAGAGGAGGACATCCCAGGGGAAGGCATCCAGATGTGCACTCATGGTCACAAGCCTCAACTCTCTCCCCCATCTGAGGGCTTGAGCAACTCCCCCTCACCCCCGTTTCAGTCAGAATGTCGCTTCTGATTTTACTCAGATGTATCATGATCAGGAGGACAGCTGAGGGGGAGGAGTGCTGAGTGATCAGAGCCCTGTGATTTCTGATTCCTGAAATTATACAGTCACACTGTGCTTTTTTTTGTATCCTTGGGGCTCGAGCTATGGATTTGTCTAGATGTGCGCCTCTGTTCTTTCGAACTGGAAAGGAATGACAAGCCGCAATCAAGATCACACAACACAAGACATTTTACAAAAGGAAAAAATATTTTGTTTTACAATCTTTGCTACATGTCATTATTTTTGCCACTGTAAGGCTCAGCACAGATGCCAGCAGTACAGAAATGGCCAACAAGAAAACAACAATCAAAAATAAAACCCTGAAGGAAAAGAAAAAACAAAACCCCCAGAGCATCTTCTCCCTCCCCTTCCCTTCCCCCAAAGCCCTGTAATAGCTGTACAATATTATAGTCTTGATCACATTTAAAAACAGTCAATTATTAAAAAACAAGGATTCCACTGGAAACTCAACTTTTTGGTTTCTTAAACTGTGGTATAAATATATATGTATACTGCATGTGTGCACACAGAATAAAAAAATAAACTGTCCCCTTTTCAACTCCACTACCTGGCACCAGACTGGAGACAAAGGGAGGGAAGCTCGGAAATGACATCCCTCAGCCTCTCCAAGGCCACCTGTGCTCCTCAGTCCCCTATGGCTACACTTAATATGTCTTCTCCTTATTCATTCAGTCTTGCACTTAGATACTGGCCTGAGCCAATTAAAAAACAAAAAAAAAAAAGGCTGTTACACATGATTGTTACCTGAGGAAGGTAAAGGGTGAGAGCAGAGACCTGTGTCTGCATTTATATGGCTATCGTTAATTGCTACGTGCCCCCGTGGGGATGGGGTACAGGCCCCATCCATTACATGGAATTACCACACTTACACTCTGAAGCAACATCCAATCTCAAGACTGGAGGGAAGTGGAAAGAGCCACAGGCCCCGGAGAGACCTAACTCTCCATTTCCTGCCAGACTGAACACTGAGGATAGGATGAAAGCAGCTACTTTGCAAGAGGGCTTGGTATTTGGTTTATACGCCAACAGTGAGATTTTCACTGATTGCTAATTCAAGAAGTTGAGTTTCCGTGCAGAAATAACCTCTACAGAACACACATCATCTGTGATTCTGACAGAAAATGCAGCATTGTCTTCATGGCCAAGTCTGGGGTTTCTGAAAGTGTTTATCTCGCCAGCCCACTTCTGTAATGTCTGCAGATCTTCCACATAAGGTGAGAGCACCAAAAGCAGGAATGACCCTGCTTTACCACTAAATGTTTGATGAGAGACCAACTATATCAACAGAAGACTTTATCTATTTGCTCACAGTTGCATATTATCTGGGCATAGATGTTAAGTGCAGCAAAGACATTTATTAAAATGCTCTTTGGCTGCAATACGAAGTGGAAACACCCGGAAGATTTAATTCCTTAGGACTCTTTGAAAAACACACAGAAAGACAAACTCTGGGACGAATTTTGCATAACTCCCTAACAGGGAGACAAGGAAGATACACCCACCCACGCACGCTCACACACACGCTCGCTCTCTCCCTCCCTCCCTCCCGAGTTTCTTCCCAGAGACCCGCTCACAGGCAGCAGAAGAGCCCATGCTCACTTCCTGAACCCCACATACACCTACCACGTTTCACGGGCCTCAGATCCCAGGACATTTCTCCTCTCCTCCGCCCTATTCAGAGCTTCTCCCCCAAAACACGCCGCAGTATTCAAGGCAAAGAGCGGGTGTCAGCGTCCTCTAACCTGCCCCTCGGCCCCAGCACAAACCATCTCTGCACCAGTTCTGGCCAAGAGACACGAGAGGAGAGGCACTCTTCACCGCATCTAGCCCCAGGTTTTCAAAGGGCCCCACAGCCTTGGAGATTCACTCGATCCACTGCATCTATCCATGTTATCTCGGAGGCAGCAGGGTGGGGGAAAGGCCAGCGGGGAAAGGGGGTACACAGCAGGGGTGAGGGAAGGGAAGGGAGAGGAACTTTTATTCTGTTTACAGAAAGACTTGCTTTTTAAAACAAATGGTGATTTTTCTCCCCCACCCCCTTATCCTCACCCCAACAGTTCTATTCTGAAAAGGAGGGAAACATAGTTAAATCGGGAAATTCTTCGTTGTTGTAGCTGTTGCTCTGGTCCCCCAGCATGGACAGCATCTCCTAATGAGACAAAACAGTAAATGTGGTCACACGCCTTGACCCTTCCGTTTACGCCCTTCCTTCAGCACTGCCCACACCCGCCACAGACCCCAGGGAGCCCCAGTGTGCTGAGCGCTTCCTCCCCGCAGCTCTAACTCCTTTAGATCCCAGCCTTTTCTGAGTCCTTCTCTGTCTTCCTCCTGGAGTTCCTCATGTCCCCTCTTTTTCAGTCCTCAGTATTGTGACAGGGAAAAAGAAACCTGCTTGTCACATTTCATACAACCTCCCACAGACACACAGGAGTATCTTCTATCCTATTTGTTCTCCACTGCGGTGGATTAATTACTTTTGTGTGTTGCCTTTCTAGCCACGGTCTTGTAACTCCCACCCAGGTGACTGTGTGAGAGCGTAACTGTGGCCCACCAAGGGGATTGGTCAGCTTTGCCTTAAAAGAGAGGCAATTCCAGAGCGGAGAGGAGGAGCCCACCACCACCAAAGAAGGAGAGACCCACAGTAGAGACTCGAAGGAGAAAGAGCAGTGGGCTTCCCGGCCCACGGGGCAAGAAAGCTGAGTGCCTTTGGGCAAAGACTGAGGGACAGGGAGAAGTCTATGTCTGAGTCACGAATCTGGGACTTAGCCAGCCTCTACAACCACGTGAGTCATTTCCTTTAAAATGGTCCTTGAGTTCTGTGAGACGTTGCAAGAAATTAGGGAACCCAAAGACGGTGGAGAGTACTGAGGCGGGAGGGAGTAGCTGATGTTAGAGAAATGGAGGGGCACAGCAGCTTGGAAAGTTAGACGTTTGGGGCATCTTTAACCTTTGCCTCATAGGAACGAGCTCGTGCTGATCCTTATAAAAGAAACTATTCATTTAGCCACCAACACCAGTTTTGCCTTCGCTCAATCAATCCTTTACATTAGTTTCCTTTGCCTGCCTAGTATTACTCTATTTACTCTTGCAGGCCCCTCAGGACTTTTAAATCTACCTTTACAGCTGTAATCAGTATGTTCTATTTTAAGCATTTTTTTTTTTTATAAACCAAAACCAAACCCACTGCCACTGAGTTGGTTCCAACTCACAGCGACCCTACAGGACAGAGGAAAACGGCCCCACAGGGTTTCCAAGGAGCGGCTGGTGGATTCGAACTGCCACCCTTTTGGTTAGCGGCTGGGCTCTTAATCCCTGCACCACCAGGGCTCCTTTGTTTTTCTGTGTAAGTTCTGCCTATTTGTATCCAGAGCTGCTCTAATGTGGGATGTGGCTCTCCTTGAATGGGCTAAAATACCTTTCTCTGGCATCTTCGCAAGGTGCTTGATTCAAATCACTAGCTTTGTCTGTCTGGTTAAAGGCTGTGCATCACACGAAGTTCGTAATTTTTCCAATCAGTGACATTTATTTCTACACGTCTTTCCTCTGTCTTCCTGTACATGCTCTCAACCAAACACCTCAATCCATGCTGCTTCCTTCCGTGTCCCTCCTCCTGGCCCCTCCTCTCCCAGCTCCTGATTCTCTGAAGTTCTTTTCTCCACCTCACCTGGAAGACCTCCGGCTGGCCGGCTTGCTGGGCCGTTGGCTGCTGAACGTGGTGCTCGCCAGAACTCGACCGCTGATGGGGCTGCTGGCCTTGCCACTGCGACCAGACACCCACACCCTCTGCTGTCCGTGTCTGGAACTGTCCCGCAGTCTGTCCAGTCTCAGGAGCTGGAAATACAGCAAGGAAGAAGGAACAATTTCAGTCTACTAACTCAACTGGAGATGAGAAACTAGTACAAGACTACACGCGAGCCACTAATTTTACCCAGATTTACCTTCTACCCTTCTCTCTGCCAATTACACCTATTCATTTCAAAACCCAGCCCCAAATAAATTTTTCTTCTCTATGCAGCCTTTCCAAAGAGCCCAATGCTCATTTAGTCTGCATCGTATTAAATTTATCATAACTTACATGCTTCTGGATATACGTGCTGAAGTGTTTCTCCTGTGGGCAGGTTTTAAACTCCAAATCGACTGCCACCTTCCAGAGAATTCACTTGCATTTCCCCATAAATAGGTCAGTGCACCCAGGACACGGACAAACGATTTTAACTACCAAACCCTTTTTCCTCAGTGGTGTGATCTTCTGTTACCCTCCTCCTGATCTGAACTCACCAAAGCTGGAGCCATGGTTCGTGAGGCTGGGGTAGGCAGCACCAGGTGACGTGGTCGGAGCACCAGGGAGGGACATGGGGCTGAAGGAGGATGGAGCCTGAAAGTTGCCCACAGCAAACTGGGGAGAGCGAGTCTTGGCTGTAGCCTGGGAAGCCACCTGCTAAAGGAGGGATGGGAACGGGGAGCAACAAACGGAGCATGAACATTACTGCACACACCACTCCCAGCAGAGTCAGCCTCTGTCAATCAGTGTGTTCCTGGGAACCAAGCGCACGGCTTATCTCCTATTGTGCATTTCCTCTGATTGAAATGCCCTATCTCCCTGACACTCTTTTTAGGCAGCTGTGATAAAGTACAAGAAGCAAAGAACTATGGGATTAATCAAATCACACTTTTAGGGTTATGAGAATTAAATGATTTAAATGAAAGCATTTTATAAACTGTAGTTATATAAAAACTAGCAGCATTAATAACGGAATATTACATGCAGAAAAAAATTCTGCAGTACTTTATTTAGTCTGTACGGCATTAATTTGTGCCTAATGGCATCTTTTTTAAAAATATTTTTGTCTCACCATAATAGCAAGAAATATTTGGAAAGTGAAGGAAAGTCTTTTAAAAATAAGAATCATTCATAATTTCACCAGCAGAGCACCTATGGTTAACGTTTTCAGAGAACTGCTTCCAGTTCTTATTTTCCTATACGTTTTTTACACAAAGGATATCATACCGCATAGAACAATTCTGGGGCCTGCTTTTGGTTTTGGCTTTTTAATCTGAAGTATCACTTGTACAATATAAATATATATTCATATATGAAGGACTACTTGCTTTAGGCTTAATATATATCACATACTGTATTTTTATGCACATAGCACATGCCTTCTACGCTTGTTTGCCAACCGCTCCCTCCCCCGAGGTATTTTCCTAAGAACATCATGCTGATTTTATTAACAGCAAAATGTAAAACAAAAAACTGGCACAGCAGCACTTACGAAAATACCACGACGAAAATACCACGATGGGGGAAGGGCACGCTGGCAAACAAACGTAGAAGGCGCATGTTATTTGCATGAAAATACAATGTAAGACTCTCTCAATACTGTTCTTCAGTAGATGGACATTACTATACGTAAGTAAGTATTTAATTGTCTCCTCTGTTCCTGTATCCACAAAGTGGCAACTTTTCAGAAATTACTTTTTAAGAGGTAAAGACTGAAAAATCAAACTTGTTCACAATGTTCTGTGTGAGCAATTCTGATCTAAAGCGGACATGTGAAAAACATGACTTCAATGACATTTCTGGAATATCTACGGTTTTTACTATCAATCTGCTCTAACAAAGATGAAAACTGGAGGGTAGGGAAGAGCAGGTTGGAGGGAAGGTCATCTACGGCTGACAAGAATAATCTTACACACGCTAAAAAACCAAACAAGATACAGGGACAGCCCAACGAGAAGCTTTACCTGGGCAGAGAAGCCTGGGCGGGTGCTGGGGGTCCAAGGTGGGGTTGCTCCCTGGGTGGGGTTGGAGTGGCGGGAAATCTGGGCCAACATTTGCCCTGCAGAAGCGGATGACTGGACAATGGTTACAGAAGGGGCCAAACCACTATTCCTAGGAGTGAACAAATAGTGAAGTAAAAGGGTTAAAATGTTTGATTTATCACAGAAGCTAGTGATCTAAGGACAACCCAGAGCTATCCCTATATCCCCTTGACTCCCCTGGAGTTAAGAAAAGCCTGATAACCCAACTTGGAAAAAACGAGAAAGACTGACGATCCCACACGGACCAGAACAATACAGAGTCGGAACCTAGAACGTGACAGAAGGACAGGTGCGAAGAAAGAGAAGGAAGAGAAGCAGCTGTCTCACCCTAGGCCCTGCACGTGCCTCTGCTTCATCGGAAGGAATCAGAGAAAGCTAAGGAAGAATACACCTTGGGCTCAGCCCCCCTCAGGGCCGTGGAAAGCAGCACACACATATGGGGCTCACCTGAAGTTCTCTGCCGGCCGGGGGGTAGAAGGGAATGTGTTGCCCTGGGAGAATAGCTGTTGGGTGGCGGGGACAGTGCTGGAGGAGATGCCTTTACTCTGATCTGTGGACCAAAAGGAGTGGGGGTGGGGAGGGCCGGTCAGGGGGCTGTAGTTATTAGCTCCAGCAAGTTCCTATTTATTTGTGAGGTATTATGATTAAGTGGAAATATGTTGGAAAACTACTGGCTGGCCAGCAGCAGATCCATCAATAAGTGATCTAAGTGAGAACTGAGGGACTGAGGAGCAGGTACCTGCACTGATGTTGGAGTAGATCTCTGAGAACCGTGGGTCTCTATCCTGGGCAAACAGACCATCTGACTTCTCAAGGGGCTTGCTGTGTTCTGGCCCAGGGGCTGTTACCGGCTGAACAGAGACCTGGGGAATACCATGATAAAAATAACCAGGAAGGACTTAACAGGATAATCCCAAACCCTAAAATTCACCTGGATTCAAAAACTCTTAATGGGCACCGCGGGATAGTTTGTAAGGAAATGCTCACTGACCTCTTCAGGAAAGAAAGCAAACACACCTGGGGATGATTGTAGCCAGCCAGTCCATCTCTTCCTGGGACCACTTCCAGTTCTGTTTGTTGCTGCTGCCTGTATGTCAAAGGCCAGAAAGGAGAGAAATGGGCAAAAAGAAGCCTTTATAAAAGCATCTGGGGAAACTTTAAAAAACCAACCAAACACACACGGGACTGCAGACGGCCATCCCCTGGGCTAGTGACTGCCTAAGACATGATTCTTCCACTATTTCTCACCTGGGTGCCAGCTGCCCTGAGCCCATCTCCAGCGATAAATTAGCTGTGGGACCGAGCTGTGGCCTCTGGATTGTGCCGGAAAGTGCAGACCGTGGTTCCTGGCTAGAGTTTCTGGGAAAAGAGAGGGTAGACAGAATAAAAAAAAAAGAGAATTTGACCCTGTCTGTACATAAAGCTCTATAAAGCTCCATCTGCAAGCAGGGTGATCACTAATAAACCCCCTTTTAAAGACCAGTCCTACAGGGGACCCATAACCTCAGTTTCAGCAAATAATTCATATTGGGGACAAAATGGTACAAACAGAAACTATGCCCTATGGCCCAAGGGTTCATCCTGTTTGTGTTCTAGCTGGTTCTATGCATTTAATACATAGCTGGTGTGTGTGTGTGTGTGTGTGCGTGCATGTGTGCGTGTGTGTGTGTGTCTGCATGCACACATGCTCCGAAGAGGAGTAGGGAAAAGGGAGAAAAATAGAGATACAGAACAGGGACTGGACAGGAAACATGTGGGGGATAAATCTTTCAATAGTTGATGTAACTTTGCAAACACGAGTTAAGTGAGAACACACAGAGGCTTAGAACACCGGCCAGCACACAATAATTAACCACAGAAAGATTTTCCAGATTTTAAGCCACTGAAAGCAGTAACTATGTTTGCTGCATAAATACAATTCTAGGTGTCTATGACATGTGATTTTGTAAGCTGTGAGTATATAACAATTATATGTAAACGTGATTAACACGGTTTAATCTCAGACTACTTTTGCTCTCTATTTCCTCTGGTAATGAAATATTTTTTGTTGCTGTTGGGTACCATCGGGTTTTTAACTCATAGTGACCCATGTGACAAAGCAGAACCTCACAAGGTTTCCTTGGCTATAATCTTTACAGAAGCAGATTGCCAGGCCTTTCTCCCCTGGAGTGGCCGGGTGGGTCCCACCTGACAACCTTTCAGTTAGCAGCTGAGCACGTCACCGTTTGTACCACAAGAACTTCTTGGTGATGAAATATTTTCTGTGAATATTTTTGTAGATTTACCACATTAAAACTATAAGCTAACCGAAGGTAGAAGCTCTACGTATCTTTTAACGCATTACCAAATACCTAGACAAAGGCACCTTCTGGGCTCCAAGGATACCTCCTGACTTAATGAGTATTCTCCTCCAACAGGTGAAAAGACCAGGACCCATGGGTTGCTTCCATTTCCTTTCTTTATAATCCACATTTCAAATTCAACTGGCTATTATGATAAAGCCTCAAAATGTAGTTTTCTTGGGACTGGGGATCTGGGCTCCATGATCTCCTAGTAGTGCTGCAGAGGCCCTACTACCTAATCTATCTGAGACTCAGTTTTCTTATCCTTAAAATACAATCAATTCTTATCCCGGTTTTCCATTTCCTCGTTTGAATGCAAGGGTGTATCAATCCATTTGGGGGCTACCTAACTCAAAACCTGGGCAGGTATGAGGCGAGGTACACTCCTGAGAATTCTGTCAAAATTCCTTGGCTTATCAGAGGTCTGCCTGCCTAAACCCAAGTGAAAACATAAGCACCAGGATCCCATTCTTAATATTTGGTTGAGCAGAAACTACATTTCAACAGGTGCCTCCTCTAACATTAATGAGTTTTAAGTTTCCTATCTGATATTGACTTTTAAGATGGCCAATTATCTCTAGGAATCAAAGAGGCAGTGAGAAGACTTGGGAAGAGACGAAGATCGCTGAGGCCTGCTCACTCCTCATGCCAACCTGTGGTCTCTGCTGCAGCAGCATCTGGAGAAAGGCAGGGGACAAAGGCCATCTGGAATTTCTTCCACCTCTGTCTCTACTATCTGCCCCCTGTCTCCTGTTGTAAGAGGGATTGTTGGTGTTAGGTGCCGTCTAGTCGGTTCCAACTCACAGCGACCCTGTGTACAACAGAACGAAACACTACCTGGTCCTGCTCCAACCTCACAATTATTGTTATGCTTGAGCCCACTGCTGCAGCCACTGTGTCAGTCCATCTCATGGAGGGTCTTCCTCTTTTTCACTGACCCGCTACTTTACCAAATACGATGTCCTTCTCCAGGGACTGATCCCTCCTGATAACATGTCCAAAGTACTTGAGATGAAGTCTCACCATCCTTGCTTCTAAGGCGCATTCTGGCTGTACTTCTTCCAAGACAGATTTGTTTGTTCTTCTGGTAGTCCATGGTATATTCAATACTCTTCACCAATATCCTAATTCAAAGATGTCAATTCTTCTTTGGTCTTCCTTATTCACTGTCCAGCTTTCACATGCGTATGAGGTGACTGAAGATACCATGACTTGGGTCAGGCATACCTTAGTCCCCAAAGTGACATCTTTGCTTTTTAACACTTTAAAGAGGTCTTTTGCAGCAGATTTTCCCAGTGCAATACATTGATTTCTTGACTGCTGCTTCCATGGGCATTGACTGTGGATCCAAGTAAAATGAAATCCTTGACAACTTCAATCTTTTCTCTGTTTATCATGATTTTGCTTACTGGTCCCATTGTGAGGATTTGTTTTCTTTATAATGAGATGTAATCCATACTGAAGACTGTGGTCTTTGATCTTCATCAGTAAAGTGCTTCAAGTCCTCTTCACTTTCAGCAACCAAGGTTGTGTCATCTGCATGTCACGGTTGCTAATGAGTATTCCTCCAATCCTGATGCCGCATTCTTCTGCACACAGTCCAGCTTCTTGCATTATTTGCTCAGCATACAGACTGAATAAGTATGGTGGAAGGATACAACCCAGGGATAGAGTCACTTCTACTCCCTGAATTGCAAAATTCAACTGGGTTCTGAGGTAAATATTGCTAACTCTGTTAACGGAAGGGGCCTACGGTCTAAGGACTTGACTTCTTTTTATTTTGGAGGGACTAAATCTTCAATACGGTGAATGCTTCCTCTTGGCTAAAGAAAAGGGTTCTGCAAAACAGCATTTACCCCTTTAAGGCACAATACGCTGTTATTTTGATTGCTCTAGCTGAAGACCAATAGTGGTTCCAACAAACTAGGGAGATCGTACCTCTGATGTAAACCTACAGAAGGCAGGCAGCCATTAAAAGGTCAGTCAGAGTGGGGAGAGACGTGCACCCCCATTTCATAAAGGCACCAAAACAAAGAAAAACCTGTTGCCCTCGAGTTGATTC